GTCTTTTTGAGACAGGGTCTCCCTGTAGCCCCAGCTATCCTGGAACTCACTATGTAGACCAGGCTGGCCTTGAACTCACAGAGATCCGCCTGCCTCTGCCTCCCGAGTGCTGGGATTAAAGGCGTGCACCACCACACCAAATAAATTTTTTAAAGAATATTTTTCTTTATTCTTTTACAGTTTCATTTATGTATACAATGTATCTTGATCTTATCCAACCCAAGTGCCCCTTCCCACTCCTCCTAGAACCACCCCCACTACTCCTTCCTACTTTAATGTCCTGTTCTTTTTTTAAAAAAAAAAAAAATTATAACCCTTAGGGGATGGAGAGATGGCTCAGCGGATAAGAGTACTGGCTGTTCTTGCAGGTTTGAATCCCAGCACCCACATTATAGCTAACAACTATCTATAACCCTAGTTCCAGGGGATTGGACAGCCTCTTCTGACCGCTGCATTGCATGACACAGGTGTACTTACATACATGTAGGCAAGACATTCATACACATAAAATAAAAATAATACATAATTTTTTTAAAAAATTATAACCCATTGAGTCCAGTTAGTATTGCCTGAATATACATGAGTGTTGGGCCATCAAGTGAAGCATGGGCAACCTACCACCAGCCACACCCTGAAGAAAAATGAATACCCTTCCCCCAGAAGGCATCGCTTACCAATAGCTCCACCCATGCTACAAGTCTTATGCAGGTAACCACAGCTGCTGCAAGTTCCTGTGTGCAACAGATATGCCATGTCCTGAAGACACCAGTTCATAGCACTCCTCCCCATCCTCCAGCTCTTACATTCTTTCCACCCTCTCTTCCTTGATGTTCTCTGAGCCTTGGTGTGCTTATGTAGGGTGCTGATATCTCATTTAGGGCTGAGCACTTAACAGTTGCTTATTCTCAAGCACTTTTACCAGTTATGAGTCTTAGCATGACTGCTGCCCACTGCAAAAAGAAACTTCTCTAACCAAGGTAGCGAATAGTACTTATGTATGGGTACAAATATAAATAAAAGCCTGTTTGAAAACATGTCAATTTAGCAAAACAACAGGTTCCTCTTTTAGGCCTATGACCTCCCTAGCTTTTGATTTACAGTCCAGGCATGAATTCCCTCCTGTGGAGCAGGCCTCAAATTGAAGCAGAAAGTGGTTGACTACCTCCATTAATAGTCATGCTACCATTGCACCAGCAGCAGGTTAATCAGGAGAGGAATCAAGAAGCTTTTGAAATAATCTAAGCAAGAAATAAAGATAAGAACAAAAATAGCAGGAACTGAGAGTTGGATGCCAATTTAAGAGACTTTTATAAGGTAAATTGGGAAGAAGTTGATGATCATATAAATGAAGCTGATAAGTTGGGCACAAGGAATGAGAACAAGTTTAGTACACTGAGTGACCATGGTGGGGAGAGAGAAAGAGGGAGATATGAATGAAAACAAATATGAAATCAGGTGGAATAGAATTTCTGATACAGGGTTGGAAGAGATGGCTCAAGGTTAAGAGCCACTAGTTGCTCTTCCAGTGGACCAGGGTTTGGCTCCCAGCACCACCCGCATGGTGGCTAACAACTGTAACCCCAGTTCCAGCGAATTGGAAGCTCTCTTCTGACCTCTGGACCTTTGCCTGCACATGGTGCACTTATACGCCTGCAGGCAAAACAAATAAAAATAATTATAATTAATTTAAAAAAGGATTTCTGATACAAAGCAAATTTAATAACATTTTGAGCTGTGGTCCATGTGGTCAAAGAACAAATATGTAGTCATATGAGGACATGGTCTTTTTTTTCTCAGCTGGCATAACCACTTAGCAACCACAAATTGATATCCAGCTCCACTCACAACAATGGGGTTATCTGCAGGAGTAAGGTGAGGGCTTGCAACTCCAGTTTCCGACCCAGACTTCTTTTTTGATCTATCGCTATGCTCTTCAGATAAGGTCAGTGATTTGCTGAGTGGCCTTTGGAAGCTGTTAACTCTCTCTCTTAACCTTTAGATTGGGGCGAAGGAGGAATTCTGAGCGCTGTGAGAACTGAGACAGTACACGTCTTCGTTTACCACGGGGTCAACGACTATTTGTGGAGTGAAAGATGAACGACACTAAGGGACGGACGATGAAAACGCTCATACGTCGAAGGAGCAAGGGCAACGGTTTCGGAAAGCACATACAGAAGACCTTTGGGCTCCCAGATAAGGGGCTCCCATCTTGCCGCTGTTCTAACATGTTCGGGACTTCTTACCCTTTGATTCGTCTTCTGTCGAGGTCACAGCTCCAGCTTCCGCCTGTGGCCGCGCGGACAGGTGTTCTACCGGCTCAGCTAATTCCGTGGCCTAGGGTGAGGCAAGGCAGTCCGATCTCCTAGGCAACCACGTCAACTTCCGGTTTGAAGATGGCGTCCGGTTGAGGAGGCCTCATTTCCGGAATGCGATCCGCGCAGGCGCTCTGCTTCCAGGAGGCAGCTAGCCCGAGCGCCCGGCACCTGCGTTTTTAGGTTTGCTTTCCAGGTTGCGCGAGGCGGTCCCCAGGCGGCGGCGCCTCTGGAGACCTAGGGACCCGCGGGACCGCAGTGCACACCTGGGCTCCGTGACGTGGGGACGGCAAAGAGCATTTTGGAGCGGTCAAGCTGGAGCTGGAACTGGAGTTCCGTCCGGTCGCGGGGCAGCGGCTGCTCCGGGCCGACCCCGGTGCCGAGAATGAGCTCGCGGCGGCGGCCGTGGGGAGGAAAGGCAGAGCCCAGAGCGTGCTGCACTGGTTCACCACGGTGGTCCTGTGTGCTGCCTTCCTGGGCCTGGTGAGAGCTGGGCTGCAACCCTGCCAGGCCAAGGCCGGAGCAGGCGTCCTGCAGGGAACGTGGTCTCCCCAATTCTCAGCACTTTGTGATCTTTGAGTGCATTGATCTGCTTGGGCTTTAGTTTCTCCATCAGGAAAATGGACATAACTCTAATCGTGGAGAGTTATTATCAACTGTCAAACTTACAAGTTTTCTAATATCAGCAAACCTAAGTCTCTTCGGGGCGATACAGGAGGGGAATACCCAGGTCTTTCTTTACCTGGGCTCCTCTGCACCCACCCACTGATGTGCCAAACGATTACACAGTTTAAAGAGCTAGTTTGAAAGATTCCTATTCCTTGTGGCCTTTCCAAATCCAGCCAATTGCTTTATTTTTGCCTGAGAGGAAAGTGGCCTTTCTGGTTAAATGATAGGATCAAGAACATTTCTCCTGTTCACACCCTGTTTCAATCAAATCCCTAAATGATTTTCTTTCTTTTTTTTTTCTGGGCACTTGGCATCTCAGAGTCTGAGCCACAGTTATTTCTTAGGCTACTTTGATGTGGGAGTGGGGGAAGAAAGAAATCACTGAAGGTACACTGTGTGCTAAGCCTTGCAAGTGCTTTGAAGGAATTTGATGAGAGCCTGCAGGTAGACTGCTTTTGTTCCACTCTCACATGCTGTGGGCCTGTGTGCACCCTGGTCCCTAGTCCTTGGTTGCTGCTGCTTGGACAGGGAGTACACTCTTAATAGTGCAGTACATTATGGGTTTTGTTTGTTTTTTTGTTTTTAATACTGGGGATTTACCCTAAGGCCTTAGGTATGCTAGGCTATCACCGAGCTGTATGTGCTGGAATACACTGGTAATACCAACACTTGGGCATCTGAGACAGGAAGATCATGAATTAGAGGTCATCCTGGGCTACATGCAAATTTGAGATGAGCCAAGGCTATCTAGGGAAACTCTTCCAAGATGAAGCAAAACATAAAAAAAAAAAACTTTAAAATCAAAGATTGTGAATACAAGACCAACTACTAATAATAGTATTGTACACTTCCTGGTGTCTGACCTAATGTAATAACTTACATTATATTGTAACTGCCCTCCCATTTATCTATTTATTTCACATGTATGAGTGTTTTGCCTGCATAAGTGTAAGCACCCCCCATTGTCATGCAGTGCCAGTGACAGAGGTCAGAAGAGGGTATTGAATTTCCTGGAACTAGAGTTATGGACAGTTGTTAGCTACTGTGTGAGTTCTGGGAACTGAACCCAGGTCCTCTGCAAGAGCAGCCAGTGCTCTTAACTGATGAGCTGCCTCTCCAGCCCCTCCTCCCACTTTCTTTTAATAGTGGAAAAGCTACTTCTTAGATAAACAGCATTTCAATGACTGTAGTAAAATGTTCTTTTATTTCAGGGACTGAGTGTTGCTATACTGGGACCCACGTTTCAAGATTTGGCAATGAATGTAAACCGAAATATCAGTAGTCTTTCTCTAATTTTTGTTGGCCGCGCTTCTGGGTATTTGTGTGGCTCTATGATTGGTGGAGTTCTTTTTGACTATATGAATAATTTTTTACTTTTGGGTAAGTCAGCACTGATTTTTTGCTCCTTTATGTAAACAAATTTAAAATTAACTCTAAATAGGAAAAACTGTTGGGACCTGAACTGGGTAGTATGTGGGTGTCCTCCCTGGCAGCTGGGTCTGGTCTCTGTAGTTCCTGCTCTCACTTTGATAGCTGGAGGGACTCTGTATGAAGCCTGCTAGAAAGTTGCTTTGCCCTCGGGGGTGTATGTTAGGAATCCTGAGGTTTGCTGACCTTTACTGTACTTTAGGCTCCATTCCAGATAACACAGTGGTTGTCTGTGAAGTGCTGTGTATCTGGGTGTAGGGCATGGCTTCTGGGGCCACAGGTCAGAGGGAGCTACCAGAACCCAACCAGTTCTGTGGACGTTGGATTGATCATGAAGAGACAGGAGATGATGTGGATGAAGTGATATAGGCTGCATTTTTATTCCTGTGTCAATAATGAGCCCAGACTGTTCTTCCATCCCCTGGGAAAGAGGGACAAGCTTTTTTTCCAATACATTGACATGATTAAAGATGATTTGTTTAATGTGATAAAACTCCTTCAAAAGCAAGGAGAATAATGTATTGTTGATGAATAAATAAATAGTTTCTCATTTCCAAAGTAGAAATGTATTTCTGAGCTGACCTTTTAATGTTTCTTCTCAGGGGTGTCACTTTTGGCTACCGCAGTTGGTCTTTACCTTACTCCATTCTGTAAGACAGCAGTCTTACTGAGTCTCATGACGTTTGTCTTTGGTGTTTCAATGGGCATTCTGGATACAGGTTAGTGAATCCCTTAGTGCCACCTCTGCTATTGGGACACTACTTCTAGGAAAAGGACAACTGATAAAATTACTATCCCTTGGAATGACAGAGAGTGGGGCCAGGGAGTGACCTAGTCAGAATCTTCTAACAGCTACTCTTCATGTCAGTCAGAACACCCAGTTTTGAGCATTCACCTGTAAAGGAAACAAAGAATTTTTCTCTATGAGAGACTGTTGATTTAGAGTGCCCAAACACAGAAGGACCCCATTAGTATGGGTAATTACAGTACAGATAAACAGACGCATTTTAGAATTTGGTCATTTTACTATAAGAAATACTGATGGTTTGATAAGCTGAAACAAGTACAGAACCATTGTTTGCAGAAGCACAAAAGCATCTTCAAGGTTAAAATGGACCCTGGGTTTTGAGTTTAGAGAAACCGTGCTGTTTACTTCTTTCCTTGTTTTTCTTTTTTGTCATATCTGAAAAGTTCCTGTTCTCCCCCAGCAAGCACTCCTCATAAAACATGGCTTTACACATGTGATACTTACTTACCTCCAGTTCCAGCCTTTTATTCTGTCTTCCCTGCTTTTTGTTGTTTCACAGACTATGGAAATATTTTAAATACCTTACTTTACGTGTATGAGTGTATTGCTTACATGTATGTAAAAATACCTGTGTCATGCAATGCACAGGGAGGTCAGAAGAGAGCATCAGATCCCCAGGAACTAGAGTTATGGACAGTTGTTAGCCACCATGTGGGTACTGGGAACTGAACCCAGGTCTTCTTCGAGAGTAGCCAGTGCTGTTAACTGCTGAGCCATCTCTCCAGCCCTGGAAATAGTTTATATGTTAGGTTTTATTTGGTTGTAAAATTACAGAGTGGAATTGTATGCTTATCGTAGAGCATACAATTTTTAAAATTAAAAATAATTTTTTTAAAAAGCCAAAGATTTCATGTTTCTGGCCTTCACCTTATAGGTTCTCCAACAGTATAGTGCAGATTCTGAAAGCTCTACTTGCTGCTGTAATGGGTAGAGCAGAATTCTGGAGTATTCACTTTCCTGACTAGATGTTTTACATTTTTATGCATATATAAATAATATTTCTCAAGTGGGTACCAAGTTTCAAGTATGAAAAGCTTTGATAATTTGGCTACTATCTGACAATAAAAGTTTGCTCTTTGTATATGCTGTTTGTAAATAAATAGGTGTATCATATCAGTATTATTCCCCAGTGTGACATTATTTCATGAAAAGCCTTTACTAATGTGCCTGGTTCTAGAAGGCAGTGGTTTACCACCACCTTGTCAAGTCCATGTATAAACATGAGATGTGATATATAGTCCTCTGGTGATAGTGTGCTGGAGCTCTTTAGACACAGAATGGCTCTGGTACAGTTTTTGAGAACGGAGTATCACAAAATTAGTGCCATGTAATACAAACTTTTTGTTTGATTTTTGAGACAGGGTCTCCCTGTAGCCCCAGCAAGCCTGGAACTCACTACGTAGACCAGGTTGGCCTCAATCTCATAGAGGTCTGCTTGCCTATGTCTTTTTGAGGGCTGGGATGGATTAAAGGTGTGCACCACCACACTAGGCATGTGAACTCTTTTTAAAAAAAAAAAAAAAAAAAATTTATATCAGCCAGGCATGGTGGCACATGCCTTTAGTCCCAGCACTCCTGAGGCAGAGGCAGGCGGATCTCTGTAAGTTCAAGGCCAGCCTGGTCTATATAGCGAGTTCCAGGCTAGCTGTGGCTACAAGGAGACCCTGTCTCAAAAAGACATACACACACAAAAAAAAATTTTTTATATCAATATAGTGTTTTCACCAAGTGAGTATGTTTAACTATAACCATTTTCACCATCTTTCCTTGGCAGGTGGGAATATCCTTATCTTGGATCTTTGGGGGGACAAAGGAGCCCCCCATATGCAGGCCTTGCACTTCAGTTTCGCCTTGGGTGCCTTTCTGGCTCCCCTGCTGGCTAAACTGGCATGGGGTACAGCAGCCTCTGCTGCAAACCACACGGAGCCTGACTTTCATCCTCTAATGCTGAACGGATCCTCCGAAGCCACCTCAGACCCTCTGTTTGCAGTGCCTGATGACATGAATTTGCTGTGGGCTTATGCTTCCATCGGCACTTATGCTTCAGTAGTTTCTGTCCTTCTCTTGGCTCTGTTTTGTAAGAAATGCTCAAGGCAGCAAAAATCCACAGCATCAGCCCAGCGATCTCAAAGAGCTAAATACCACAAGGCCCTGCTCTGCCTCCTCTTCCTGTTCTTCTTTTTCTACGTTGGCGCTGAGGTGACATATGGCTCTTACATATTCTCATTTGCAACCACCCATGTTGGCATGGAGGAAAGTGAAGCAGCCGGGTTGAACTCCATCTTCTGGGGGACCTTTGCTGCCTTCAGGGGCCTGGCCATCTTCTTTGCAGCGTGTCTCCAGCCTGGAACCATGATTGTGTTGAGCAACATTGGCAGCCTGGTCTCATCTTTATTTCTGGTGCTTTTTGACAAGAATAAACTTTGCCTCTGGATCGCATCTTCAGTGTATGGAGCCTCGATGGCAGCCACATTTCCCAGTGGAGTTTCTTGGATTGAGCAGTATACCAGCATAAGTGGGAAATCTGCAGCATTTTTTGTGGTTGGTGCTGCTCTGGGAGAAATGGCTGTTCCTGCAATAATTGGAATTCTTCAAGGACAGTATCCAGATTTGCCAGTAGTTCTGTACACCTGTTTGGGGTCCGCAGTATTCACTGCTGTCTTATTTCCTGTGATGTATAAATTAGCCACTTTGCCTCTGGAACACCAGCAAAAACGAAAGACAGAGGACCAGAAAGCTTTGCTTTCTACGTCTGAACTGAATGACTGTAAAGAAGAGAATGAAGGAGAAGATGCAGAAAAATGGAATGAAATGGATTTTGAAATAGTTGAAATGACTGATCCAGTTAGGCAGTCAGAAATAGAGACATCGAGAGAGTTTCAGTGGAACCCACAGCTGAGTTCTCTGATCAGTTCCTCTCAAATGCGCTGACTTTTGAGTCTACTTCAGTCAATACCAGCAGTCTTCTTGAGAATCACCAGAACAAAAGGGTACTAACACTTAGAGAAGATGAACTACCGAATGACTTTGCTGAATAATTGCCTCTCTAAAGACACCAGCCAGAGCAGGCATTAGCAGATTTTCAGCATGCTCTGGAAATCAAAATTTTGGTCTATTTATAGCAAGTAGTGAAATGATTTCAACTGTTCTGTAAACAGTTCTTTCATAAACTACTACTTGGTCCTGTACAGTAGGATTTGGTTATGAGACTCCTGTTTAGCAGGAAGCTGGGCAGGTACTATTTGATGGTCCCCACCTTTTAGCACACTCAAGGCATTTGTGTGTAAGGAGTTGAGTAGTGTTTCAATAGCTGAACTCCACAGAGGATTTAAATGGATTTGCTGACAAATGATCAGATATCCTTATTCTTCCAGGAAGGTTGGAGATGAGTCATGTGAAGGAACATCTTTAGGAATGGAAAGATGTTTTTCTTAATTTTACCCTATATGTAGGGTTGCACTAAAAATGCTGCTGACTATATTTTTGATTACTGTGAGGACACAGGCCAAGATTTCAGGATTCAAGATGATACTTTCTATTTGACAGAACATTCAGTCATTCAGCATAAGCCTGGTTTATTCAGTCTCCTGTGGTTCCAGACATGAAAATGAGGTCATTTCCAAATTTAGGGTTTGGGTTTGTTTTGTTTGTTTCTTGAGTCAATGTTTTTATAGTCCAAGCTAGCTTGGAGTTCACTAGGTAGCCCAGGTTGGCCTCTAACTCACTGTTCTCTTTCTGCCTCCCTAGTTTATGTTATAGGTATGTGCCATCATGCATGGTGAAATGTGTAAGCTTTAAAATTTGTAAAGATTTCTGCTAAAACAGCCCATTAGTTTAAAATGTAAAGTAAGACAAAAATGATAAATAGCCTTTAGAATGTTTTACTACGGGCTGGAGAGATGGCTCAATGGTTAAGAAACTGGCTGTTCCTAGCCAGGCATTGCGCATGCCTTTAGTCCCAGCACTTGGGAGGCAGAGGCAGGTGGATCTCTGTGAGTTCAAGGCCAGCCTGGTCTACATAATGAGTTCCAGGAGAGCTGGGGGCTACAGGGAGACCCTCAAAAAGACCAAACAAACAAACGAAAAACTGGCTATTCTTGCAGAAGACAGGTTCAATTCCCAGCTCCCACATGGTGGCTAACAATCGCCTACAACTCCAGTTCCAGGGGATCGAGTGCCCTCTTCTCTCCTCCAAGGGCACTGTGTGACACAGGTGCACTTACATATATGCAGGCGTAACACATATACAAGTAAAATAAAAAATAAATAAAGTTTTACTGCTTATGAGATCATGCCAACTTAACATGCTTGATGTTTAGTGTGTTCTTTGAATAGTTTTCTGAAGACCACCATTTTTATTGCTGTATTTCATTGATCGTAAGATGTGTCCTCTTCCCTAACTTTCCACATATGTGAATAAGGGCAGGTCTTACACTCAATGGTCATCTGATATTATAACAAATTTTATTATTACTTCACATATATTTATAAAAGAATTTTGTTTTACAATCTGTATCTTATATTCAGTGAAATACAGTAATTCATCCAATTTCAGAGATTATATTATTTAAAAAAGTTATTTTTATATAGTTTTCTCTATCATATTCAGATGATGTCTGAAGATACTATGTGTTGCTTTTATGTTATTACTTTTTAACTTTAATTGTTTTCTAGTGCTCGTGGCTGAACTCAGGGCTTAGTGCTTGCTAGGCAAGTACTGTGCCACTGAGCTAAATTCCCAGTGTCTTAAGTTTCAATTACAGAAGGTGTTTTAGAGTTACTATATAAGTACTAGTGTTGTGGCTGGGTCTTTTGGTACCCATAGCTGTCTTAAGATTTAGCCCTCAGTGGGCTTGGTTGTTAATCATGTATGTACTAAAAATCAGGTTAAAAGCTTAGTTTACAATGAGGCACAGTTTTCTTTAGTGACTGGAAAACTTGCGTCACCCCTCCTTGTGTTTGAAATACCCAGAGAACCAAAATAAAGAGAAGGTGGCTGGATGGTCTAGGCATGAAGGATGAGAAATGCTGCATCGTATGTGTGTGACAGAACTAGTATGGGCCATCCCTTGATAAGTGACTAGAACTGATAAGCAACCGTTACTTCTTCCAAGATTTATGCTAAATGACATTGAATTGCTGCCTGATTGCAGTATGTTTGCTATCTCTTATCAAATTTTTATAAATTTGCTTTTCTGAAAAAAATTGCTTTGGTTTGTCTTAAGTGAAATAAATACAGCACCTTTCTTGACCACTGCCCATTGACTCCCATATGCCCACTGCCACACTGGTTCATGTTACTAATACAACGTTGGAAAGGGTGGGTGGACAAACTGACATCCATGATAGTTTGCTCCTTTTATACTGTATGTTTCTCTTTGCCAGGGATTGGAAACTGCCTGTGCCTCATTTTACAGCTTTTCCTGAGGCTGTTAGGCTATAGGCAGCAGCAGATACTTGACTACTGGGAGTTTTGTTAAGCAAGGATTCTGCCTTCAGCATCTCCTTTAGAGGGCAGAAGATGGAGCTCAAAAGAGAAGCGTGGTGATAAGAACATGACATAAAACTTGAAGTCTACCCTGAAAATTCCACAAACCAAAATGTAAATGGCCATATGAGAACACAGGTGTTGTGACTGTGTGAAAATACATATCTTTATTGGAAGGAAATTCAATTCTAAGAAAAATCAGTTCTCAGGTATATATCAGCTAATATATAATAACAATACCAAAATTTTCTATTGCTGACTTACAAATTACCACAGAGTAGCTGTTTAGAACAACATAGAGATGTTGGCACGACTTGGCTCTTTGCATTCAGTGGATCACAAAGGAATACAGTCACTGCAGTCAGTGTCAAGTGTCTGTATTCTTTACTGCAGCTTGGCACCTCTTCTAGGGACACATGCTTGCTGGCAGTATTTACTTTCCTGTAATTGTTATCTGAGCTAGCCATTTCCTCCTGGTTGTCAGCTGGTCAATGCTCTGTTGTGGTTTCCCACAATTCCTTGCCAGGTAATATTCTTAATTCCTCTTACAGCAACCTATTTAAAGCAAGGGGAATCTCCTTCCCTAGAGAGAGAATCCATGTCAATCTGGAATTGTGTGGCATGTAATGTAGTTGTAGAGATGGCATCCCACTGCCTTTGCCTGCTCTGGCTGGCTTGAAATCAATCACAGGTTCTGTCCCAGATCAAGGGGGAGAAACTAGAACAGGGTTATGAATCACTGGGATGCACTGTAGGGAGCATCAGTCATAGTCAAGTACCTGAAGTCAAGTTTCTCAAAGAGTTGCAACCGTGAGCTGAGGCAAAAGCCTCAGTGATCAGGGGTGCTACCTATTGAAGCACCAGAGTGGGGTTGGAGTGCCCTCCACACACGTAGGAGAATCTTTTCTTTGTTGGACATGGGCAATTATGTCTTTCCCTTAAAATTTTATTTTACTTTTTAGCCCTTTAACCTATTAAAGTTCATCTTAATATGAAGGAAATAATGAAGTTATTGAAAGCCAGGCATGGGTTAGGCCTGTGATCCTAACACTCAAGAACCCAAGGCAGGAGGATCGCTGTGGGTTTGAGCACCTGAGCCTACGTAGTGAATTCCAGCGCACATTGGGCTACAGAGCTGTTTTTGTTGCTTCTTTTTTTAGGCCAATTTTTTTATTCATTATTTTTAAATGAAATTAAAAGCAATTTTTGTTCCAAAGTAGCAATAGTGTATGGTTCATTGATATTAGTATGATGAACCATGTTAGCTACTTATGTTCATGGTCTAAATACTGTTTTATGTAATAGCTGAGGAAAGTTTACCATGCCTCTTTACATAAATATTCCAGATGTTTAATCTTGGAAAAGTTTTAAATTCAGGTTTAAATTGCAAAGATAATATGGAGGGCTACTGTATACATTTCACATACTTTTCTCCTAATGCTCTCGTCTTATGTAACCACCACACTACAAAATCAGTAGTGATACATCACTGCTAAACTAAACTCTAGAATTTTTTTCCCAAACTTTGTCTATGAATGTCCATTTTTCTATTCCAGGATTGAATAGAATTCCTATGACTTGAGGATGCTAAATAAAAACTGCCTTGAAAAATATATTTTTTACACTGAGTGTGATAGCATATTTCTTTAATCTCAGCACTCAGGACACTGAGGCAGGAGGATATCTGCAAGTCAAAATCCAGCTTAGGTTACAGAAAGTTCCAGAGTAGCCACCACTACTTAAGTAAGACCTTGCTTCAAATAGAAGTCATTCATTTTTTGGTAAAAATTATATCAATAAAAATAGATGATTAAAGTTTTGGTAAGTGGGGGCTCAGCAGTTAAGAGCATGTACTGCTTCTGCAGAGGACCTGAGTTTGGTTCCAAGCACATTGGGTGACTCACAGCTTCCTTTAAATCCAGCTCCAGGGGATTCAGTGCTCTCTTCTAGCCTCCACTGCATCATGTGCACATACCCCCACACAGATACACACACACACACACACACACACACACACACACACACACACACATGTATTTACAGAGGAGGAGGCAGGCAGACCTCTGGGATTGAGGCCAAACTGGTCTACTTAATGAGTTCCAGGCCAGCTGGGGCTATAGGGAGTCCCTGTCTTTTAAAAAAATATTATATATATAAATACACATATATGTGTATATATTTAATTTGGTAAATAGATTAAAAACAAGTTTGAAGCATGAATAATACATAATTCTAATCATTTAGAGAAATTCTTATATTTCTTATTGTCCTACTTTGTTTCTCCACTGCTGTGACAAAACACTCTGACCAATACCAACTGGGGAGGAAAGGGATTATTTTATCTTACATCTCCCAGGTCATAGTTCATCAGGGAGCCCAAGGAAGGAACTCAAGGCAGGAACCTGGAGGCAGGAGGTAGAGCACAGGCCATGGAGGAACACTGTTTACTGGCTTGCTCTCCTGGCCCCTGCTCAGCCTGCTTTCGAAGCCCACCTGCCCAGGGGTGGCACTACCCACAGTGGGCTGGGCCCTCCCACATCACTCAGCAGTCAAGAAGATGCCCCATGGACATAGCTGCAGGCCAGTCCAATGAAGGAAATTCCTCAATTGATGCTCCCTCAACCCAGGTGTGTCAAGTTGACACTAAAGCATCTAGCACACTTATCAACGTCATTTTGTGAAGAGAGGGTAAAGGGGATGAGAATCTGTCAGTTATAAAGCGTTAGAAATAGCCCATTTTGCCCTAAAATTTATTGACATTATAGTTGTTGAACCCTGTTTATCTGTCTTAGAACTATAGTGTGTTTAAAAACAAAACAAAACATAACAAAACAAAAAAACCAAACCAGAGTGCATGGAAGGGGCCCTGCATGCTCTCTCCCTAAACAAAGAACAGAAACAGTCAGTGGTCACCAGAGTTCCACCACACTTCTGAAAAACATGTAAGACCAAGCTTATATGTAAGTAATTTTGCTTTATCTGGATTCCTTGAGTAATCAGAACAGCTCTCACAAGAACTTGTAGGTTTTGTGAGGTTTTTGTTTGTTTTGTTTTGTTTTTGAGATAGGGTCTCCCTGTAGCCCCAGCTGGCCTGGAACTGGCTATATTGACCAAGCTGGCCTGGATCTCACAGAGATCTGCCTGCTTCTGCCTCCTGAGTGCAGGGCTTAAAGGCCTGTGTCACCATGACTGTTCCAAAATATGTCTCTTAACCCTGCTGCTTAAATGTTATTTTTTTTTAACAGCTTGACATTCTTCCTGTAAGAGCTACATTCCTTTTAGGTGCCTGTGTCTTAATTGCCACTCCACACGTGTATGTGAACCCATGGATGTCATGTGTGCCTGATATTTTTCTATAGTGTAGGGGCAGAGGTGGAAGGAAATACAGAAAAATGCTCATTTAAAAATCTTCCTCAACCAAGCGTGGTGGCGCAGGCCTTTAATCCCAGCACTTGGGAGGTAGAGGCAGGCAGATCTCTGTGAGTTCAAGGGCCAGCCTGTTCTATATAGCGAGTTCCAGGCCAGCTGGGGCTACAGAGAGACCCTGTCTCAAAAAAGATAAAAACAAAAAACAA